AAATAAGCATGGTTACTTGTGAATCAGCTAGCTCTTGCTTTCGCTGAAGAAAACTAAGGGAACATTTGTTCACAAGATAAGGGATAAGGTAAAGAAAGGGTTGTTTACAGCCAATGACTCAACTTCAAAACTAGTAGACGCGAAAAACAATTCAGGTGCAGGAAGCTTACAAAATTATGTGAAAAAAGCAAACTTGGGACCTCAAGCACACTAAGTGCTTTGAATAGGGGGAGTAAAGTGTACTGATAGGCTCACTAATAGTTAGCCTCTGATTCAACCAGATAGGCTGCTGGAGGGCGGGGATTCGATCGATTAAAGCACGTATGCAGGCTGTGCATCTCACTTCGAAGTCCGCCTTTCAACCACTTATCTGGTGGAATCAGAGGGTACATCCATTATGTCTTATTACAATAACACGAGTAATAATTTTGAAACTGAGGACTCTACCACCTTGTCAAAAGGTTTTTATGGATAAACCACGACTTACTTGCAGTTTTCAGGCTGCTCGACTTTTGCTTTGCTTAGGTTCTGACCCTAACATCAGCAACGCAAATGATGACAGTCCAAGGCATTTAGCTGCACGTCTGAGAGAGTAAGTTCATGGTTCTGCCAGCAAATGTCTATGACGTCTCATTCAGAGCGTCCCTTCTGGATTCTTTGATAATTTGTCATGCTCTGCCCTGCAAGCCCAACAAAGTCGGATGTGTTTCCGGCTGCACGAATGATTTGGCTTCTGTTCTCAAGGTGTGCTTTTACTCATAACTATCCTGCTACATCCTTACACATAATGGCATGTTGCAGCGAAATTCTGAAGCCGCCAGTATGGAAGAGCCGATTCGGGACTTCATACAAAAGGTCATGAACAATAGCAAAGTGCTCAAACCACAAACTCATCTTTTAGCAGTGTTACGATGGTCTCATAGCTCGCCTTGAAGAGCTAGCAAACCGTGGCGAAAAGCCTCAGAATATGATTAACCTTTTATCCATGGATGGAGGTGGAATTCGAGGACTTGCTATGATACAGGTCTGAATAATCATTGTGGTTTTTCCTAATGTTTCAGAGAGACTTTTTTGACTTACTTGATAGTGACAAAATAACACAGGTGCTCATGGAAATAGAGAAAGAACTCAGA